AGTCATTCATATATATGATCATGAAACCATAATGTTGATGATATTTCAGCACTTTAACTTACGTAGATGTGATGTTGATGATATTTCTTCATCCTTGACAATATATTATTTGCATTTGCTTTTGAATTTGCTTTTATCCTTCCTATGCTAATGATTAATAAAAATACATGGCAAGTAAGCACAGTAAGAGACAGATTCTATTGTGAAATGCCTTTGGAATAAATATGTTCTGTTGTTGGCTTTAAGCTAGTGGTTGGCTTGGTGTTTGGGCTAATTTCCTTTTATCATTTGCTCATGCAATTTTATACAAGTTAATGCTATATATTTGTATCATTAATAGGTTATCTCTGTTTTCCGTTAATGCTATATATTTCCATTTTCCATCATCACACTTTACGTGTACAAAGACTTATCCTTTTTCATTTGTACTCACTTTTGTAGTTGATGGTATTGTTCAATCGATCCTAAGCATTTCTTCTTATATTAAAAATTTGGTAGAATTTAATGGGAAAAGGAAAGAAAAGATATCTTTGTACGTAGAGTTGATGTAGGAGTGATGTAGGAGTGACTAACTTTCATTTTGGATTTCTTTCTTTCCATGACCATAAGATAACAGACCAGTTCATTCACTTGTTTATGAATAACAGAAACAAGAGATGATTATGAATAACAGATCAGTTCATTCACCTTCACATCTTCTTGGATTTGGCGAGTTCAATTTGAGAATGTTGGCAGCTTATTCAAGAGGTGGTTTGAATATAAATTCGAGGCAGGCTCAGCCAGTTCATCATCCATTGGAGCTACAGCAGCAGCAGATTCGGGCTAATGATAGTGGAGAAGATGACCAAAATACTTCTCAATGAGAGTATAAATAGATAGATAGATAGATTTTGAAATCTGAATTTGGTTAGTGAACGATTACTTGAGTAATTACTTATTGAGTGAGCAAATTTTTATTGTGAAACGTATGTCCAATCATTGGATTGGAGTTTATCGTAGATTTCTACAATTAATGGGTTGATTTGGCATATATATATAATCGAGTTATGATGAGGGTAGATTTCATCTCATTCTTATATTTGTGTGTCATTTTTACTAGTATGCACGTCTCTAATTATCTCGTGTTGTGAAAACTGGACTTGAATAACCAATTAGACTCAAAAATTGAGTATGTAAGTCAAGTACGTAACGATCTGCAAAGCACAACACTCAAGGCGACGTTATTAAAGATAAGATTTAAGATATGTTGAAAAAAAAATTTCAAGATTTACCAACTTCAAAATTTATATGTTATTTAATACTATATTAACATTAAACTATTAAAATTTATTGAATAATCAGATTTTTTGAATAAAATATTATAAAAAAAATTTTCAAAATTTCAAAGTAAACGCGTTTTCTAGTTTTATGTTTTCAGAAACAGTTTTCCAAAACAACAAACAGAACGCAT